TATATATATATATATATATATATATATATATACATATATACAGCGAGAGAGAGGGAAAAAAAAGCCCAAACAAACGGAAAACCGTGACCAATCTTAAACCAAGCTTAACCAAACATTAATGCAACTTATTAATTTAATAGGATGCAGGGGACGGAAAATCGTCTGGATTTCCCACACAAACAAATTGCAGTTCATCAAAGAGTATTTGATTTCTGAAAATATAACGAGAAGCATGCTTGTTTGCGGGACACAAATTTGAGGTTACTGTAGTTGATTGTCTCGAAAAATTCTGACCTTTGAAAGAGAAGAGCGATCCGTTTGGATTCGGAGGAGGGGCGTGTAAATGCAAAATATGCGTGCAAGATGTTGCCGAAAGCTTGGGATAAAATGAGGCACGGCATTCTCAAACCATCTTTGATTCAAATCGGGTCCATGTTTTCGGAAAGACGATCTTTTCGCGTACGCATTTTTGAGCGGGGTTCGTCTTAAATGAGCTCGGTGATAATATCACTTCGTTTGACGGCTATCGACCGACGTGCAACGTAATGTAAGTTGAGGGGTTCGTTGTTTTTAGTGGATAGCTCTACTTTACGAAAGGCAAAAAAAGAGATGGAATCCTTTAAATGCAGTTTTATTCAAAGGGGGAAAAAAAGTCGCCACAGCACATTCGAGAACACAACTCTCCTCGTAACTAAAATCACTTCCTGCTTCTCTTCCTTCAACAGCCAATCAGAACCTATCAACATAAAAACACGTCTAAGCAATTATTAAACAACAAAATATCATTTTAAATTACATTCTCTTTTTATTTAGGTATTCTTAACATGAAATATGATGCCCAAACATAAAATGATAATAATTAATAATATAACATAAGCTTACAGCAGTATGAAGTTAGCGTATCGTGTCTTGCAATATGCTTCTCTGTTTGTGAGATCCGTTGCGCATATATGATGTAGTAGCACAGATTGGTTGAATATCAAAGCCGTTCATTTAACATTCACGAACGAGCAGATGTCAGGAGATAACTCCCCCCCTGGCATCTTCCGAATGGAAAATACAACCCATGCCGGTATCGAGCCGATCGCCTCGCGGTCCGCTGACGAACCGGAGTGATCCGTGGGAGAAGTCTCAGATGTGGTCAGCGTGTGACACAGTGACTCAGCCTGTAGGCGGCCTCTCCAAGCCTTCAAAAACACTCCGCCAGTCTGTGTTGGAGGCAGGCAGACGGATGGCCCATCCTCAAGTTTCACTGCTTGGACCTCACACACACACACACATACGCACACACACGCGCGCGCGGGGGGCTCGCAGTTCTCTCCAGTTTTTGGATTATAAAGACGCACTTCCATGCAGCGGATCAAGTCAGCTTTGCATTTGTGCTCCATATGAGGGAGAAAGTAAGCCCGGCTTCTTCTCTGTCCGTTTTGTCTCATTCGTCACGCGTTTGCGTGGATTTTTCGAATTGTACTTCGTTGGGGTGCACGCGTGGAGCGTTGCGTTCCTGTTGTTGAAAATGATATCTCTTAAGAGCAGTCTTTTGGCGCGTATGCATGGTGCAAATGAAAAATTGACATTTGGTTTCGGTCTTGGTGTTGACAAAGGCAGATGAGCTTGTGTTAAGCCTGCAGGGAGATAATATTGACCTTATTGCATGTTGGCTTTCGTCATTGCGCCAGGTACAAACTCCGTGACGGCGTCGCATGAATTATCGTTGATCAGACCACGCGTACCTGACAACTCGGACTTGTTTGCAGATCTTCAAGGCACCTTGTCTCCTCTTGAGTCTGTTGACAAGTTGGAATCTGTGCTGTGGAAAACTCGGACCCCCAATAACTGATGATGTGAGCAAGCTGTCGCTGCTGGTGTGCTTTTTTTTTCCCCTCTCACACACACACACACATGCACACAAATGTTAATTTCTGTTGGATTTGTGCACTGAGTTGTGACGTCTCCTTTAGAAGCACAACATCCCTTCCGATTATGAGATTCCTGTTTATTACATTCCCAAAGAAGTGGTATGTACGTGACGAATTTTTCCTGCATGGCCTCGCCAGCGGCTGGAATGTTTTTTATATTCTGCCCTGTCAATGTTTTTTTTTTTTTTTTCTTAGTCTGGTGAGTGTTGGGTGGTATTAAACGTCTACCCATTGGAGCAAAGTCTTCGCAACCTGGCCGACATGTTTGGCGCCGTCTCCTCCAACAGGGAAAACATCCTGGTCTTCGTCACCATGCTGAAGAGCCTGCGCTTCACGTTTGACAACCAGGAATTGGTTAGGCGTCGCCGTTCTATTCGGCCGTTGCGTACGGTGAATTAATCGAGACGTTGCCGCGCAGGAAACGGCCATGCAAGTCTTTCAGTGTCACTACAAGGAGGGGAGCTTGAAGAATGAGCTCTATTTCGACTACATCGAGGAGATCCTCAACGCCGCAGGTCATGAAGCATCCAGTTTCTCCTGCAAGCCGCCGCCTTGTCTCAATACGGCAAACGGACCAGGTAATTAATGAGGGTCTTTTTCGTCAGCTTTATTGATTTCCTCCCTTCGTCACACAAGTCTCTGAAATGGCATCGCGAGCCCACAGTTCACAAAACTCAACAGGCGGTGGAGAAGAGAAGTGGCAGTAAAACAGGCCAAAATCCAGGGCCAAGAATCTCACATGCATATTTTGGGGGTTTTTTTCGGCATGTGGGAGGAAGCTGGTGTACTCGGAGAAAACCCGCGCAAGCAAATGGATGATTTTTACCAATATGGATTTTATATTTAATACAGAACAGTAACTCAAATGATGTGTATAAACAAACTCGTCCATTATTGTAATAATTTTGGAACAGATTAGGGAGAGTCCGGTCGTAATTTGACATTCAAATGCATTTTTTTTCCCACTGGCCAATGGGGCATCTACGATTGAGCCTTACAAATTCTGCCCAGCAACAATCAAACAAGCGAATTACCTGTTGCTGTTTAATTTTCTTTTTTCTAGACTGAATAATTATCCTAAAAGCACAAACGGATGTTTTATGATTTCTTGTGAATATTTTCAAACGGCATGATGATGTGTCCTTCTCGGCAGGGGGTCAAAAGGGAGGTCGCGATTACAGATGGTGGAAAAGAACGCCGCTGCTGCTGGTGATCGTTCCGGTCGCGGCTTGCGTCGTTCTCATCGTATGGCGGGTGAGTGGATTCAAAAAAAAAAAAAAAACGCTCGGCTCTGTCGTATTGACTTTTGTGACTGCCATGCCTCACAGCAAGATTTGTACGATCTCGGGCAGTTATTTTTGTTGCAGCTTCTTTCCCAGCGCATCGGAACATATTAACATTATGCAAACAATATAATCGCCTCGCAAACAGTTGTGAAAATGGCGTCCAAACTGAAACAGGACTAGTTTGTTTGTTTTTTTTTTTTCTTAAAAAAAAAAAAAATCCCCATTCTGAAATTTCCAAGGGCCATTCCAATAAAGCCGAAACGATGACGTACTCTTGTCTTGGAGAGCACTTCCTGAAAAGGAAATTCCTGTTCATAAAATATTGATCGGTGCTTTGAGGTTCCCCTATTAGCCACCTGGCGATGATACTCAACGGGATTTTCTTCAGGTCACATCAACGAGACATTCGCCGGAGCGCACCGCCGAGGAGATCGAAATGTCACCCGCCGACTCCGTCCTCAGCGTGTCCGTTTCCGTCCCGCTTCAAAAGCCCGACGGCGTCGCCTGCGATGCTCTCGCGGAGGAGGACCCGCTTGCCGGTCATGACAGCAGGTGAAGGATAAAGATGAAAAGCAGGGGGAAAGAGATCTGAATGGGAGAAGTTCCGATGGCTCATTCTGCCCCAGATGTTGCGTGTTCGTCAAGGCGGCGCCAAGCTGCTGCGAAGACGAGCGTGCGGTTAATCAAGACGCAGAATTCTCTTGGGCTACTTCTTGTACAAATCGTAGATGGACTCTTCTGACTTTAAGAGCAATGTGAAAACTGAGCCCGGACTGTCAGATGTGGATTCAGCTTCCAATCCGAAAATCTACAATGCCTACTTGGTATCAAATGTGCCGCCATTGGACTATGAAACATAACCGAAAAAAAAAATGGAGAAGAGCTGGACTGGATGTTCTTCTGGAGGAATGGACCAACAAATTTGGAAATCGGGTGTCCTGTTGGCAGAGATGGGAACGCGAGTTATTGCGGCATGGACTCGAGTCACTGTTTTGATGACGTGTGACTTAACTCGACAAAAACTGAAAGATTCGAGACTGGACTGAAGAGAGGACGAGGTGTTAAAGTGAAATATAGGTCAAATAAATTGTGGAATAATAAGGTTATGCGACTTGACCGGAGACAAACTGTAACTTAGTTTGACTTTTGCGAGGCAAAACGCTTTGGGGCTATCAGGGTTGAAACGATTAGTCGACTAGTCGAGTTCTACTCATCGACGTTTCTAGCTTGAAGGCAACAAATCACTAATCTTGAGACAAACTGTCACTTGATTTGACTTTCGCAAGGCAAAAAAAATGTGGCACTATCAGGGTTGAAACGATTAGTCGACTAGTCGAAATCTACGCATCGACAAATCACAAATCTTGATTCGTACAATATCAATGACGTCGTGCATTATTTGACTTCAGCGCGCTATAGTCGACTACCATTTTTTTTTTTTTTGGTCATTCAACCCCGCTGAAGACTTGCTTGAGATATCAATCATGTCATCGACTAATCGACTCGACTTTCAGCACACGATAGTCGACCACGAAAGAATTTTAGTCGTTCAACCCCTACGTCGGACTTGCTCGAGATTTCAACCACGTCGTCAATTAACTGATATCATGTCCCGATCTGGTGTCGAATATTATATCCATTGGATTGTCATGTTTTTTCTTCATGCCTTCTTAGCCTAGAAACACATCGAGAGTGATGCCGCCGGGCCGGTCACGCACTTGTTGACATTGCGATGATCGGTCACAGATGGCAAAGCCGCCGCTCGCAAACAACACTGCGCCCGCAGTTCAACAAGGGTCCGACTTTGTGTATCAAAGCTCCGAGCAGATGGCAAAGATAGCCACGGCCAGACTGGCCGTGAATCCTTCCATTGTGTGCCCCTCTCCACCCGTGATGTATCGCCGTTTCTTCTTCTTCTTCTCTGCCGCAGTAAAGAGGACTGGACTTTCTAATGCCTCATTCACTGAGTCAAGCCCGTTTGGGTCATGAGAAGATGACTGTGTGGAGAGAGGATGCGTCACACACACATACACAGAAAGGGAAGACAGGAGCGTCGAGGGGATACGGATGGACGGACGGACAGGCGGATGAGCTCAGCGAGGAGCATGAGAGGGACGCTTGTTCTCGCCCCACAAAAGACGTGGCCGTAGGCTGGAGGAAATGCCACTTACCAATACGACCGATGTCGGCGGAGTGCGATGAATCAACGGGCCAGGAATCTCTGCCGACCGCACGCAATTGCGGACGGTGATAAATATTCCAATAATAGTTTTTCAGTACGCCAACGATTGCGTTCCAAGGAACCGCTTCATTAAAATTTACAGAAGTGCAAATAGCTAAAACAATTGAGACCAACCCAACCCCCCCCCCCCCAAAAAAAAAAAAGGCCCAGCTGTTGGATACAAATTACATCCTGCCTAATGTGAAAGTATTAGAAACAGATCCGTTTGATGCAGTACAGCGCTAAACCACTGCCAGCTACAACCACAATAATGAAATATCGATGGATTAAAAAATATGATGATGATTATTGCCATCGACAGCTCTGGATGCCAAATATGCATTGTAACTGGGAGTGTTGGCAGTGAAAGTCAAACTTTGTATTGGAATAAATTCGTTGGATGTATTTATTGGGAAGATTGCATTAACATTAAGGAAAACATTAATTTAACACTATTAACATTGTAACTACGCATGTGACATTTATGTGTTGGTTGTGTATTTTATGCCAGATGCGTTTTGCAAAATTTTTAAGGGCAGAACCAGCACTGGTTCTGCCTGGTGTTACTAATTATTCTTACATGGACTGGGAGGGAACAGTTCATTGTCGCAATGATAATTTATTTATTATGTACCAGAAGTGATCAGATTTAGCAACACTGCTTTGTTTTTTTTTTTTGTTTTTTTACATCTGAGTGTGAACATGTTGTTAAATGAATTTCCATGGCGTCACGGTTTTCCCGTCTTGAAATAATAACACAATAAACATATTTTTGACAAGTTGATGCTGTAGTGTCATGAACTCTTGAGTTTCCGAGGTAACTGAACGCATCATTTCGAATCAAAACTGCCATCCTTTTATTTTATGCAGTCACTTCCGCCGGAAACGTCTAAGCTTTTGTTTTGGAAAGCTACTAGCCACGGTCGCCATTATTCTTCCTGGCTTGACGTTCGATAAAAAGACATTTATTTGACTTTTATCGTATATTTTTGAAGCAAACTGCACATCTTCATTTTTTTTATACGACCCGTTTATTCAAACGCGAGTTTGCAACGCTGACCAGGGGCCAAAGAATGGAGAGGCGGTCCGAGGGTGTCGGTAAGTTGCTAAGCTAACGTTGGTCAGCTAACAGCTGCCGCCAAGAACAGTTGAATAAAATGGCGCATTCAGTTGGTCACTGTCCGTAACATAGAAACTAACAGTCAAGGTTTTGACCGTGAATGTTACGCAAACTCTTTACGATGTGCAGCAGAGCGCAGAGCCTGCACGCGCTTGAACAAAAATGAATCATCGTTGCCCGGATGTTCCGATCGCATTCTGCATGGTTGGTTTTGTTGCGTCCCATAATGTTACATGCACCATCAAGCAAAATTCAAACATTAGTTCGCTAGTTAAAAATCGGATGCACGTGGGTGCCCGTGTCGTTTGCGATGCACGGTTCGGCTCATTTGCGGATGAATTGCAACGATTACTGTTTGTGGTTCCGGTTTTAAGTGCGTCTGCGCACGTCATGCTCAATGACATCACTGCATGGTATAATTGACTTGCACGGTGCTGTATATGTACTTGGCCATAATCCTGCATTCATTATATAAAAGGGAAATTGTGCGCGGATGTGTTGGTGTTCCTAAAGAGTGTAAAACCAGCCCCGCGGGGCCGCACATAACGCACATGCCAGAAACCACCACTTAGTGAGCAAAAGTCCCGGACTGTGAGGACAAATACGATGAATGGCTATTTTTCCGGACGGCTAACTTTTGTTGTCTGACCCCCAGGTGCTGGATGGGCTCTCCCACTGGCCTCCCTTCGCCTGATGGCCTCCCCGCTGCAGCTGACGTACTCGTTCATGTGGCAGGTGATCCGCCAGAGAAACGTCAGTCAGTACAAGAAGGTGGAGGAGTTTGTCACCACGGTGACGCAAACCGTTCCGGAGCTCATGAGTTTCAAGCAGACGGCGCAGCTCGTCTTGGGCTTGCGGGCGAGGGTAAGGCGGTGGTATTCGACGAATCGTTCCACTCTTATACGTCTGATAACGAATTTCTTCATTTAGATCATTTTGGATTTGCTCCAGGGGGAGGGCCAACCAGACTCCCGCGCTATTCAAACGCTAATAAATAAACTCAAGATCGCTCCACCTGTAGGGGTAAGAACGCGAGCACTCTTTTTCCAAAAATGTAAGCGGCGTTAAATGTTCAAAACTTTCTGTCGCGAAAGGACGTGGAAGTGGACAAATGTCAAACCAACTTCATGGTGCTGGTCCAGAATCTGCTGAAAAGCCCCGCAGAGAGGAAGCTCTTCTTTAAGGTACGCTACGCCATGCTAGGACAAAACGTCGTTGAACTGGGGGGGTCCACGTTGTCATGGATACGCTGGATTCACGCAGGGTCTATAATAATAATAACAAAAGCTTGTCTCCGTGGCAACCCATGTCGCCTCGCTCAGCCTTCCCAGATTTCAGAAGGAATCTCACGCGTTGGGTTTTTCCTCCGCAGGAAGTGTTCCCGGTTCAGTATGGCACAAAGTTTGACACGGCGCTGCAGACTCTGATCGCCGGCCTGGTGTGCAAGTTGGAGCAGTTGCTTCCCGTTCCCAATCTCTCCCAGGTACGAAACCAGGATCACGAAGCGGACCGCGAGTCGTCTCACGGTCCACGCCAAACGTGTCCGCTCGCATTTATGTTCCCTTGTAACGCCATCTTGAGTCATCGTTTTTCCAACTCAGCTCAGTTCCATGATTTCATCGCAACCGGCTATGCTGGAGGCATGCGGCGGCGTCATCCCCCAAGGCGGCGACCTCAAGACTCTCCTCCTGTACCAGCAGTCCAGAGGACTGCTATCCGGTAAAGGTATGAATGAGTTCGCTTTTGATTCAAAGCAAGCGCAGTGTTCTCGAGCAACAGTTTGGAAAGAGTTTTTCCAAGTAGGAAGAGGCTGACTCCCACGTCACTCACCGGGTTAGGCCCCGCCTTCTAAAGCCGAGTGCCAAACATATATTCATGGTGTCTGGGTTCTTGAGGTATGATCTTAACCAAACCTTCTCCGTGTTCAGCAACCATCTCGTCTTCAGTGGGCGACTGCGTGCTCTCGTCCCTCGCCTTCCGACCCAAACCCGTCGAGCCTCCTCCTTCTCCGCCGCCGCCTCCTCCGCCGCCGCAGCCCGCGGTGAGCCCTCCGGTCACGAGCCCGCTCACGCTCACCGACCACGACGACTTAGGCGACATGTCAGACGATTCGGAGGACGCGGAGGTCGCCGTCGTCGCCTCGCAGGTCGACACCGCCGCCGGGAGCGCGGCCGCAAAAAGCGTCGCCGATCCGGCGGCGGTTTCCGAGGTGGATCTGGAGCAAAGCGAAAAAGCCGACGAAGCGGCGGCGCCGGACAAGTCCGAACCGCCGCGCCCGCCCGTGAAATCCATCCCCTTTAAAGTCGTGACCGTGCCCAGGAAAACGGCGTCGCCCAATTCCACCGTCACCAAGGACGGCCAAAAGGTCCAAACGCAGCGCGTCACCCTGCACCAGTGGGTGTCAAAGATCGCCACCAACACCATCGCCCTCCCGGCCTTGCCGCCGCTGCCCCTGGACCGCTTCAGCGACGACGACTACTCGCGGCCGAGCATCCGGCGAAAGAAGCAAATCCGCCCCCCCGCCGACCGCTTCAACTGCAGCATGTGCGACAAGAGCTTCCCTTACCAGTCCAAGCTCATGGACCACGAGCGCATCCACACGGGCGAGAAGCCCTTCGCGTGCACGTCGTGCAGCAAAAGCTTCCGCACGCAGGCCTTCCTCAACAACCACCTGAAGACGCACAGCACGGCGCGGCCGTACGCCTGCGGCCAGTGCGGCAAATGCTTCGCCAAGCTGCAGAGCCTCACCAAGCACATGCTGGCCCACAGCGGGCAGAAGCCCTTCTACTGCGACATCTGCAACAAGGGCTTCACGCAGTCCACCTACTTCAAGCGGCACATGGAGTGCCACACCAGCCAGATGACCTTCCCGTGCAAGCACTGCAACAAGAGCTTCCCCACCGCCTTCAAGCTGGCCAACCACGAGCGCTGGCACACCCGCGACCGCCCGCACATGTGCGAGCGCTGCGGCAAGCGCTTCCTGGTGCCCAGCCTGCTGAAGCGACACATGGGCTACCACATCGGCGACCGCCAGTACCTCTGCTCCCAATGCGGCAAGACCTTCGTGTACCTGTCGGACCTGAAGCGGCACCAGCAAGACCACATCCCCAAAGCCAAAATCCCCTGCCCCGTGTGCCAGAAGAAGTTCTCCAGCAAGTACTGCCTGAGGGTGCACCTGCGGATCCACACCCGCGAGCGGCCGTATCGCTGCTCCATCTGCGAGAAGAGCTTCACGCAAGTGGGCAACCTGAAGGTGCACATCCGGCTGCACACCAACGAGCGGCCCTTCAGCTGCGACGTGTGCGGCAAGACGTACAAGCTGGCGTCGCACCTCAACGTCCACAAGCGGACTCACTCGCGCAAGAAGCCGTGGATCTGCGAGACGTGCGGGAAGGGCTTCACCATGCCGGGCCTGCTCAAGAACCACGAGCAGTTGCACCTGCGCGAGGCCGACCCGGACTTCGCCGCCAAGCGTAGGACCAGGGCCAAGCAGAAGAAAAACGCCCTCAAGAGGAAGTTTGACGAGGAGGAGGAGGAGGAAGGCATCGATGATTTTTAAAGGAGGCGGTCGTGTATTCTTTATCCTCTGCGTAGAGCAACTAATATTAGTGCCGTGTCGATGAGCTGAGAGAAGAGCTGAGACGTCTCAAGGCACGGTATTCGTCTTTTGTGTACTGCCTCCAAGTGGTCAAGTCAGGCCATTCGATTGATGCAGTGTGACAAAAGCTGAAATTCTTTCACATTTTTACTTTGTCGTTACTGTGTGTTTTGTATAGAGTACAATATTACGGTGTGCTGTTTTTCATCCATCAAAATATACTTAAAAGCATTTTTGGAGGGGAGCGGGGTGGCAACAAATGCAATTTTTATTTATTTCAATTGGAAAAAAATATTTGTTTTAAGTTACAAGAGTGGGACAGAACAAATTGAACCCTTATCACAAGGCGCCACCGTATTTTGTCGGCAAGCTTCTTGAACTTTTCTTTTTTTACTCCTTCCTCAATAGTTTCCCCTCTACCAGCAAGATTATTTTTGTACCGGGATGCAATGAAAGATCTGAAAGGCAAGCATGGCTCTTGCCTCTGAATCGTTTTCATTGGTAAAAGAAAATGTGAGATCAAACGTTAGAATTTTTTTCTTTTGTTGTATTGCAGTGCATGTGAATGTCACACGTGTTATTGTTTTGTTTTTTTAACACATACAGCACATCTCTGCTTCTTTTCGGGTGGGGGGGGGTAACTATAGTTTGCTTTCAGTTAGGCGCCCGTGCGTTAGTGATTATAAGTATAACCAGACTCTATATTTCATTGTACTAGTATTTGATTTCTTTCTTTTAATTTTATAATTGAAACGTGGTAAAATTGTCAAATGCGTTACCCCAGTTAGAACATTAAAAGTGAGAGCGAAGGATTACATCAGTGTTGTCATTTCACTGAGTCATTCATCTTCATATACGGTGATGAAGTCGGCCATTAATCCTTCCAGCTGTCCGCCTCTCAACACTTAAAATGTTTGGTCCTAATGACTTTTTAATAGCAAGTCCTTCATTTTTGCTCCCCTTCTGAACTCCTCGGGGGTTTCGGGTCTCCCATTTCTGTTTTATTGACGCTCCCTTGCATTTATATAAATCGGCTTTTGCAAAAGTAGCAACAATCAGGAAGTCAAACTTTAAATCACATGTTTAGTTGAGGGATCGTTCAAGTCAAGACACGCTGAAGGAGAATGCGACATCTTTGAAACGCATGGTTTGGATTAACGCTTATTTTTATGTGGTACGCGATATTGTGGGCCAAGCTGGGCCACTTTTTAAAGCAAATGTACAGTCAACAAGAAGTGAGTCACTTCCTTTCCGTACCCAGGAGACCTTCCCCGACCATTATGGACAGCCAGCAGTATGAGGCCACATTATCCATACATTAGTATGTAACTTAATCATCAGACTGGTCTGCCTTGTTGTCAAGGAGACACACTGACATCTGACATTGAAGAAAACAATGCAGCTGTTGTGGCTTATATAGATGGTGTAGGCCCATTTAGTTGCATGTGTTTCGTAAAGATTAAAAAAAAAAAAAAGGACAACATCAACTCGAAGACAGACGTGTGTGTGTGTGTGTGTGTGTGTGTGTATCAGGTGTATATATATTACACACAAAAGTGAAAATACATCAAAAATACTGCAAGTTGAAAAAAAATAGCGTGTTCCTACGCTTGTAAATTACATTATATGTGATAGATATGCACATTGCACAAAAATAAATAAAACAATATAAATACTATATAAGTTGAAAAAATACTTGTTAAATGTTCATTAGCGTGTACTTATTCTTGTTTTAATTTTATTTAATTTACATATTACTTACGCTGTCGTAACTATATTTTCTGGTCGGAACTGTCGAGGCAAGAACTTGTTCGGGGGGGATAGTTAGTGACGGACAAACGCCGGCCATATTTCCGCTAATAACAATCCTAGCCAGCCTACCGTAAAGGTTGTTTTGTACTCAGGTGCACTTTGGCAACCGTCATGGAGAACTGTGACGAAACGAACACATTTACTTTAATGATAAGTATTCAGTAGTCGTTAGCAATAAAAGTGAAACAGAAAAAAAATAATAATCACGATAAAGCTCCGACCGGCCAGCTTAGTGATGACTTGCGCGATAGCCACTTTAGCATGTAGCCTGCCTACGGTTTGGAGTCGGTTCTCGTTCACGTGTCTTAATAATAATAATTAGAGATTTCTCATTTGATTTCCAGATGAATAAATGAAAAATCTACCTTTCCATGGAAAGTGCAACCATGTTTCGAGCGATCATTTCCTGACTGGGAAAACTTTTGAAAATATTTTCCACGCGTGAGTAATGACATTTTTACTCTTAACTTGTCTTATTCGACAATGTTTCATTTGATTGACTCCAACACTTTCTTTACGGTTCAGCATTCACTTTAGGCTTACAAGATGAAGATGTTCTCAGTAGCCCACAAGACTGTCTTTGTGGTGGACCACTGTCCCTACATGGCTGAGTCCAGTCGTCAGCAGGTTGAGTGTGATGTGCTGACCAAAAGCCGAGGCCAGGGAGTCATCCCTCTGGCTCCCGTGTCCAAGTCCCTGTGGACGTGTGCTGTGGAGTGCTCCATGGAATATTGCCGCATCCTCTACGACATTTACCCGCTGGACAAATTGGTTAGTGAGCCCTCCCGGTTTGTTTCTGCAAGGGGAGGCCAGATGCTTTCAAGTAAAAATCGATATTTCTTTCCAGATTAACTACATTGTGAGTGACTCTGAGTTCCACCTCTTGAATAGCTGGAAACGTGATTGCCAGAGCACTCATGAGGTTAGTATTTCCCTTGAAACAATTTCCCCGCCCCCTGACCTTTAGTGAGCCACTGCACATATTATGTTAGAAAATTGTCATCTCACGTCGCCAGAAAAAAAGTATTTAAAACTACAATAAACTCACTCTCCACACCACAGCGGTCAGGAATCGCTATCCTGCACTTTTGCACAACTTGAAATGTGGACACCATACTTACATTTCCATCGCCTGACAGCTCATGTCATCTCTGGCCGCGGTGGGGCCCCCCAACCCGTGCGAGGACCCCGAGTGCTGCAGCATCCTGCACGGGCTGGTGGCGGCGGTGGAGTCGCTGTGCAAGATCACCGAGCTTCAGCACGAGAAGCGCATCGCCCTGATGGACATGGCCGAGCGAGTAGCCAACCGAGGTCGGATTATCTGCCTAACGAATGCCAAAAGGTAGACGATCCAGTCATTGGAAAGTTTTGCATGATCAACATCAACCGAAAAAATGAAAAGGAGGGGATTTGATGTCATGTTTTGTCGAATTTTACAGTGACACTCATGTGCGCATGTTGGAAGATTGCATTCAGGAGACCATTTTGGAGCAAAACAAGCTGGCAGCAGGATCCGACAGGTCCGGTTGTTAGCTTGCCCGCTGACTGTTATGCCCGTGCACGTGGGAAAGGAGAGCCACTGTCGCTGAAGCATTTTTTTTTTATTTACTTTTGCTGTTTCAGATTGATGGCCATCCAGCAATGCGAGCTGGTCCTCATTCACATCTACCCCCAGGGCGACGACACACTGGTGTCTGACCGGCCCAAGAAGGAGGTTGGCGCTCAAAAAGCTTCCTCGTCGATATTTACATCACACAATTTATTTTTGGGGGATTTGTCTTTCCTCCAGGTGTCGCCTCTGCTAACCAGCGAGGTTCACAGCGTCCGCGCGGGGAGGCACTTGGCCACCAAGCTGAACATTCTGGTCCAGCAGCACTTTGATTTGGCCTCCACCACCATCACGAACATCCCCATGAAGGTAAGTGCCCTTTGACCCCCGCCCGCCCAGCACCCATCGCTCACATATTCCAAAAATCACTCAGCGTCTTTGCTTTGTCTAAATGTTCCAATCAGCCGTTTGCATCGCTCCACTCGCGTCTGCTTTGAGTTCTCACTCTCGTCGCTTGGCCACACTCTCCGCGCGAGCCCCTCCTCACTTCCAACGACTCATCGCTTCATCTCTCTTTTTTTTTTTTTTTTAAATTTATTTTTTTATTCCTTTTCGTGCATCTCACCTGCACGTCGAAGCGACTGAACCCTGCTGCTGGTTTCATGCTGTATTTTCTGTTTTGCTAGCCCACATTAAATGTTTGCGAACAGGTTAGTACTCGATTCTCACACACACACGCACGTGAGGAGGAAAAGGGCATAGTCCGAGTCATGTGTCGTGTCTCTTTTATTTTGTTGTGTGTGCGTGTGTTGTACGCTCTTTTTTTTTTCTTTTTTTTTTTTTTTGCAAACATTCATTTGATGTGTGAGATGTTCAAAGAAAGGCAACGTTGGTCTCTGTATTTAAAAAAAAAAAAGCAAAACAGCACTACATTGCGAAATGTAAATACTATGCCCCATGCTCCTTGCGAGTGTTGTCATTTCGCGACAAAGTAATTGTCCCACTCAACGAAGGAAATGCAGATTTAATTTGTGGCTTTGTTAAAAATACACGGACCTTGAAAAATAATTGCGTACGATATCGCAATATCAAGGGTGGGGGTGGGGGGTCGAAATGAGATGATTTTACGGTAATCACCGTCGGAATCGATCAACTGCAGCGAATTCTTGTGATCCAGAAAAGCATTGCGACCACTGTTGCCTCTTCTTCACCCTGAAATCCGTTCAGTGTCTGTCTGTTCCTCCTCCGCTCTCCACTTCCAGTCACCCGCTGTGTTCTCCTGACTACATCACTTCAGTGTTGAAACACACCTTAATAATAATAGCCCCCC